GTATTTGCTTCATATTGGCTTTTTACAATTGTTTTAAATTACATAATTTTTTAAGTAAATAATTGACATTTTTGCATGAAATTATGCGATGAGTCCGAATACAAAAAAACCTGAGAATTTTTTTTCATATATTTTCAAAAATTTTTGTATAATAATAATAATACAATTATAATTATATTATAAGAATCTTAGGCATTTATTGTTTGTATGATTCCGGTTTTGTATCACAATAGATCAACAGTATGTGTCGCCAAGCAGTGTCTGATGTCTTTTCTTTTGAAGCGTTTCTTAAAGATTGCAATGTCTAGGTGAAAACGTTCACCATATTCATCACTGAATTCACCCAAATTTGGTGGAAAAAAATCCAAATAATTGTGAAGAAAGTGTATTTTGAGTGACATGTTAACTTTCATTGCATAAAAAGCCGAAATCATTTCAGCAACAATTTTTTTGTAATTATCGGCTTTTTTATTGTTCAGAAAATTTTCAACAATGTCGAAGTAAGTCAGTACCACACGGGTATGCTTTCCTAACATCTACTTTTAGAATTTCTTTGATTTTTTCATGGGTGAAAAAAAAGCGATGTTTGTCGTACTGTGTTATTTATTATATGTATATAATATTTATATTCATAATCATTATTTGGCGTAAAGTCGATATTCATATATTTATATCATGGGAAAAAACTCAATAATTATATTATTAATTATTATATTCAGTATGTGCATGCATGCACGTACAGAATAACGTGTATGAAGTTGGCCTCGCACTTTTCGAATTTTTCTTGATTGTACTATATTATGCTACATTTGTACTAAAAATTGCAAAAAAAAATAGAATAATAAATATTCAGCCTTTTTTGCCCTTTGTAGCCCTTTTTTGTAATTAAATTAATTCATTCTTTTTCTAAATTGGTATTAACTTGTGCCGTGTTATGCCATTGGAAATATTTCATTATCTCATTTCATTTCAATAAAAAAAATTCACAATCATAGATAAAAAAAAATATATAATATATAAAATATAATGCAACATAAATTAGAATTTCTTAAGTTATGGCTTTTTAAATGTGAAATAAAAGAAAGAGATAATTATTTCGATAAGTTTTTGAAAAATGGGTGGGAATGAATAAAAAATTTTACATTTTCAAATTTTGTTTAGTTGTGCTGAATTGTGCTGCTCAATAACTTCTGAGTAGTCATCGCAGTCATATTGAATCATGACATCAGAAGTGAGAAATAACACATAATTTTTATTACGTGCTATTTATAAATAAAGACAATTTGGATAAAACAAAATGATGAGATTGCTTTAAAACATTTGTAAAAATGGACGGAAAAATGGATGAAAAACTATGCTTATCCTTCCTGACAGTCAGTAAATAATCGTAAAAAGTGATAAAAAGCATAGAGAATGCTTTTATTCAACGCGCAATTACGTAACTTATTTTCATTTACACGTGTCTTTTTTATCATTTTTTATGATTATTTACTGACTGTCAGGGAAGATAGTTTTCATCCATTTTTACAAATGTTTCACTCTCATCATTTTGTTTTATCCAATTGTCTTTATTTATAAATGGCACGTAATAAAAATTAATGTGTCATTTCTAACTTCTGACGTTATAATAGGGCTGTGATGACTACTCGGGAGCCTTAATGACAAAACTTCCTTGTAGGAATAAGATATTGAAATTTTTCCGACGACACAACACAGCATAAATTAATGCCAATTTAAAAAAAAGAACTGTTAACTTAATCGCAAACAAGTGCGGAGTCAGCAAAATTTGTTATTCACTTTTTGCAATTTTTGAGTTATGGAATTTTTATTTATAGCACAAGTCAGCACAAACGTAGCACAATATAGCACAATGAAGAAAAATATGAGATTCGAAAAGTGCGGGCCAGTAAAAATTAGGTTTTATTTTTGGAAAACGCTTCATGTTGTTATTAAGTTGCAATTTGCGGCACAAACGTAGCACAATGCAGCACAATTAAAAAAATATAAAATTATATTATAAAAATAAAAAATTCAAAAAATACAGAGCCAACTTCACACACGTTACACAACAGATATGTTAAAAAAACACAAGGTAATTATCAGAATTGAGTACATTACTTTATAAAATAATGCATTATCATTACTGTTATTTTTGTAAAAAATACCTACTGTTACTGCAGTATAAGGAACAATTCGTTACTTTTTTTTTGTCACTTTTTTGTTATATTAAAATAAGATATTAGATTTAAAGATTTAATAATTATTATTTATAGAGATGCACCGGATATCTGGGAAATATCCAGCAATTCCAGCACTTTTTTATTATTCGTCCGAATAATTGGATATCATTGGTATTCGATAATATATCCTGTTAAAATTTTATATTGATAGTTTTCGTCATTAATACAGAATTTTATCTTTTCAGCTAAATTGCTTGTACAAATCATTTTCCCTTCTTTTCTTTTTATGTTGAGAAGATAAAGAAAATTATTATCGCTATTTATCCTTTTTTTTAAGCCTTTTTCCATCAGATTCCGGCAGGATATCCGAGGAAATATATGGTATTAATCGGATAATTGCCTTACCGGATATCCGAAAAGAATTTGACAATTTAACAATTCTAACTTTATAATATTACCAGTCAATCATTAAATAATTAAGGATGCACCGGATCGTAAAATTATTAGATACCGGATGTCGGATAGTTTTACGATTTGGTGCATCCCTAATTATTTAATAATCAATATTAATTAATAGAAATAATTAGTATTAAATTATAAGCTAGTTTATATGGGAAGATTTTCTTTGCATTAAACTTATTTAATAAATGTTCTATAATTCTTTGTGTGTGTGTGTGTGTGTGTGTGTGTGTGCGCGCGCGCGCGCGCGCGTGTGCGTGTGTGTGTATAAAATGCTTATTTTTAGAAATTTAGATTATAATTTACAAATTTTGAGAATCTGGAAGAAGGAAACAATGAAGGAAAAATGACAATAGAATATTAAACAAATTGTACATGGAGCTTTTGGTAAAAAGGAAAATTAAAATGAGGAAAGGGGAACAGTGGATTCTGCTCACCTATAGGGAGAAAGGGAGAGTTTCGTTACAAAAAAAAAACTAGACATAAGTTTGGATTGAACCTTGCTTCGCATGAAAAGCTGTAAATGTTCTTATGGAACCTTGTTTCATGTCGGTTTACAATGTTCCATGCAAAGCAAGGTTAAATACAAACCTACATGTTTAATTTTTTTGTAGTGGAGCACTCTGCAGAAAAGATAGAGACTCACTGTATACACACCTGCATTTTACAACGCAAAGTAAGATTCCATGTGGGCTTACAACTTTCCACACAAAGTGAGATTCTCAACTCAAAATATACCAAATAATATTATATCACTGCTCAAAATATTAGAGAGAATAATTAACTTAATTGTTAATAACTTTTTAATAAACATTGACCTATAGCTAAAACCTTTCAAAGAACACTCAACGTTATGAGTTTGACAACATATATAACTAATTTCCTTATATTTAAATAATTATTTAACTTTATCCCTAATCTTTATGGACACATAGATATATATGCTCAAATATAATTACATATTTATAATATATATGACAATATGCATATGTATGTATATATTTGTATACAAGTCAAAATATAAATATTAAAGACAAAATTTCAATGTGTATATTACGTATTTTCTTCATTTATGTAAGCTTTATGAATATTTAAAGAATTTTTTGCCAATTGGCAAAATGCATATAAGTTTATATACATATAAAGAATAATTTGCATGCAAATAATGAATTTGTAAGAGTCTAAAGTGCATGCTAAAAAATCTAAGACATTGTAAGAACTAAAATCAGAACTAGTCTCTTTTTGTTCTTATAAACTTAAATAAAACGATAGACTAATTTGATTTCTCAACTTTTTGTGTTAATAATGACATCCTTGTTTTGTAACATATAACAGAAATGATAATAAATTCGTTACTATGAATTTATGTAAATCATTCCATGAGCATTCTCTCTATAATATTGCAGAATCTAAAATTGAATTATTAAAATTGAAGTAAGACTATTCACAAATTACCTTAGCCTATTTTTGTACAAGCGATGCCTTCCGCTTCCATCAGTCTCTTTGTAATCAGTCTCTGTATCACTGCTACTGTCTTGCATATAACTGATGCGTTCCGACTGACTTGTCATGTTAAACCACCTGACAAAAATAGAAAACATATACATTGTAGATAAGAAGAAATCCACGATCTTGCAGTCTTTCCTCTTCTCCGCGAAACGTTGAGCAAACATTTAGAAGATACATTAGTATGCTAGATTTATTCCTTTATGAAAAAAATGTCCTAAACTTTTAATAGTATCTTAACCTTAAAAAATCATTATAGACTGCACAAGTTTCTCTTCTTTATATTATCTCGTTTTTTTATAATGTCAAACAATGATTTTTGTCATTCTCATATTCTATTCATCAACATATAATAAATTTCTAGATTTTTTTATTTATTTATCAAATACAAAGGTGTTAAAAGATGAAATAAAAAGCGACGTTTTCTATCGAGGCTTTTAAATTTTCAAAATATTTTGATATTGGACTATTTTAAAAATTCGAAATCTATCAGATATATCAATGATCGTATAATACAGTATAGATAACGATAATACTTTGAGAAATCAAAGATCAAAAAGGTCAGAAGCAATCTGTCTATCGACTTGATCGGACGTGTTATTGCGTTATTATTTTTGAAAAGTATGACCGGTTTCAAACGCACAATTGAGTTTATCCTACTCTTTTAGACTTTCGTGTTCTGCATATTATCTTTTGTTACTCACTGTATAGACGGCATTTTCGATTCTGGCCGTATCAACTCTGCGTTAGAGACGGGACTATTCACACGCGAAGAAGAAGAACGATAATACTTACGAGCTCGAGAAAGACCAACCGAGCCGTTTAAAAAATCTCTTTGTAGACTTGCAGATCTCCAGATCGTATGAATCAGCACGAATGTTAACTTGATAACAACGGCCCTTCAATTGATAAATGTAATAAAACTACATGCACCTAATGCACCGATGAACATCAGTGCACATTTATTTATTAAAGGTTTTTTTTATATCTGCAGAAGGGCATTGGTTGTATATTTCTTGAAATTCTTGAGAGATGAAAATTACAAAAAATGAGCAAATTCACTAAGTTTTAACCAATAAAATTATAAATATTCTAGTGAATTTGCTCACTTTTGTAATTTTAGGTTAGTTCTTTTTTAGCTAAAGTACTTGCACTAAAGGTCATCACACGCAAAAGACCTGGAACCTTAGGCCGAGTTCACACCTCGATAATTTATTGCAATTTTTATTAATATGCTTAAGGTGCAGTCACAATAGAAGAAATAAAGAATTAAGAATAAGGAATAAAGCTTTCAACTTATCAGATATTGAATACACTAGAATACACAATTTCTGATAGATTGGATTCCTTATTCCTTATTCCTTATTCCTAATTCTTTATTCCTTCTATTGTGACCATTATTGTTTCAATTTATATCTGCGTTTGGAAATACAAATCTGAGGCATCGAAGTGCTCTTTTTTTACAGTACGTAACATATGCTATAATATAAGAGCACTCTGACGTCTCAGATTTGTATTACTAAATGCAACTTATATATTAAAAACAATGTATTAAATACTAATTTTAATCAATAAATACCGATAACAATTAATAATTTGTAATTCCTTGTTCCACTTTTCCATTCAAATTGGGTTCCATGTAATATTATGAGATCAAAATAGTGAACAAAATGTGCGGAAACGCGGAAATCTAGTAAAGTTTAGTTAATTTTGTTTTCTGCATTTTCGCATTTTCGCGCTTCATGTAATGGCATCCTAAGGGCGCGTTCACACCTTGATGGAAAAGCGGAAAGCAGAAAAACAGCAACGAATCAGAACTCTAGCTAGTAGTTTACAATTTCGGCTTTTTGTACTACTTACTAGCATTAGTACTTTTGTACTAATTACTACCAGCGCAAATTCTGATTGGCCACTGCTTTTCCACTTTCTGCTTTTCCGTCAAGGAGTGAACGCGCCTTAAAGGTGCAACCCATGCAGCGGTATAATGTAACGCGGAACGAGAGCGGAACCAATCACTAAGCGTTTCGTATTTTTCAAAAATTTTTAGAAGAATAGCTTTTGTACATAATACGCACACATTTGTGTGCCAATGCATATGCACGTATACACATGCGATGTTTACTAACTATTTATGGCCTAGTTTCCATCAAGGGTTTAAACGGAATCAGAATGTAAGAACCAACTAACTATAATCGAGCATTCCCCTGTCGTTTGACTATAACAAGTCTATGTCAATCCTGTCCAATTTGAGCTCCGGAGCCAAAACGCAAAAACACCTACGTCAAAAATTTCAGAGAATAAAGAGTATGTGATTTTAGAAATATATAATACTTATGAAGTGTTGATAAGCGTTACTTAGATGCGTATCAACACTTTCCCACAGTCCCCGATGTCTTACTCGTATTGAATTTTTTTGCGTCAATGGCTTTTTATTTTTGCTTCAGAGCTCAAATTGGATAGGCCTGGTCTATATGATATTAGGTTAGTTACAGGTAACTTAATATCACATAGACAATCAGAGACTCAAAAAGAAAGAAGAAATTTTATTCCAAATAGAAAAATATTAAACCATCAAAAGAAAAACAATTTCGATGTATTCCATAGTCAAGAACAGAACACCGTCATTTTTATTCCGTCATTTTATTCCGTCATTTTTGTTGCGTTGAAACGTGAATCTCCAATACTCATATAGCGTAATGAGCGCTTTGCGGATTTTGGGCAACTAATCAATGTCATTATTTCATTTAAAATCACATTAAAACTAATTTCATAAGATTTATCATCTTTAATCGATATTTTCAATAAGAAACGCATTTAACTTAATATTTAAGTATGTAATGAAAAAACAAATGATAAAACAATATTTAAAAGATTATATATGGATTTGCTGTTCATTCCGTTTACGCTTATTCCGCTCCATGGGGATGAATGAATTCAAAGCCGCGTAACGAAAACTGCGAAACGTTTGTAATTGGTTTTGCTCTCGTTTCGCGTTACGCTATTCCGCTATATGAGTTTGCACTCTTATTCTTGAAAAGTATCGTATACGAAAAACGAGAGAAATGTTATAGTATATGTGACGCATACTATAATACTTCCCTTACTTTTCGTATGCGATACTTTTCGAGAATAAAGGCCCTGTTCTTTTTGGCTGAACTTTTGCACTACTTCATCTTTCTTTCACTTCTTTCCTCCTGAAGAAAAAAGAAAGAAAAATGAATTGGTGCAAAAGTTCAGCCAAAAAGAACAAAGAATCGATTCTATATCTTGAAACAAGGTGAAAATTACAAAAGTGAGCGAATTTACTAAAATACTGATAATTTCATTGTCAACACCTAGTTTGCTCACTTTTTAATTTTTACCTTGTTTAAAGATACAGAATCG